ATCCCTTCGTGTTTACTAGGAACAGAGAGTTAACGAAGCGTGATCGTGTGAATCCATGCATGGATCTATCGTTCCGCGCGTAAATTATCGATACATTTATCTATCGCTAAGATAAAATTCGGGGTGTCCTTCACTGCAAAGAGAAGTCTCAAGTGCGCATTTGTGAGGAACTTGTTGCGAAACTTGGTTTGTCTTGATGCTACAAATTGCTCGCGCAACGTCTTCTCACCGTAAAATCCTGCGTGAAATTTTCGCCACGTGTTTTCCTCTCCTAACGCTGGACTGATTAACGCTAATTAACATCACGTGATACCGGACGGAGCGAACGCGCTCATCCACGACATACCTTTTTTCAAGGAGGCTCCTCGTGCCTTCGTGTGCCGACCCATGAAGCTGGAAAGTAGCTGCATGCTTTTTTTCTCTCCGACACTTTCAACACCCCTTAGACTGGTTGCGGCGATCTCGATAAAGCTATCGATCGCGCTCACCGGGTCCCGGAAATACGCGCCGCTAAACAGCCGCAGTGAAGCTGTCGTTACTTATCGGAGTCTCTTCACCACCTTTCTCATATCACCGCTCCCGAAACATCGCCGGCTGTTATAAGTGCTCGCGTTCACCGTTCATGGCTTTCCCGTTGCATGCCGATAAGCATCTCGTTCCACCGGTTTGTATACGCGAAAAAGTCAAGCGAAGAAAATCTTTGCATTCACGATTAATAAACAAGCATCCTCTTTGAGAGCGACTCGAAAAAAGAAATCCACACAACACGACGTTTTATAAAAACTAAAATACTTTCTCTACAAACTGATTTTTTTCTTATTTTAATAATAAATAAATACAAATGTTTTCTCTTTCAAAAGACGAAATGAAATAATATTAATAATATTAATAATATTAATTTTCTTCTTTTTTAATCACGCTAATGTTGATTCTTGATATGTCAAGTCTCGTGACATAAATTTACCTCGAGCTGTGCAACGAAACTTTCAAAATTTGTTCGACTCGAAATCTAGAAGTGCAAAACTATTAAAATATGTTGGTAGAAAAGATTCATTCGCTATTTAAATCGCGTGCTAAGAAAGTTTCTACGAAACTATTTTCGCTTGTGCTCGAAACAAATGGAAATATCGAACAGGTTCGATCTATGAAATAAATTTCACCATCGATTCGTCTGAGAATTAATATTCAATTAATGCTGACGGTATTATTTTACAGTGAAGCTCAAAACGATATTAATTAATAATTACGACTAAATTATTCCAACCGCGCGTATGGAATTACGTTAACTGATTAAACGAGCGGCGCTCACTTTGCAGAATCTTAAATCTCGTTAATCGAACGCTATGATTAATTGTATACGCGCTGCTAATTGTAAGTCGAACGATCTCGTGGCGATGTTATCGTTATGGAACAACTTTTTTTCGGAAGATCCGCCAAAGTTCCACGAGCGCGCATCTCGTGAAAACTCGCGGCGATCGCGACCGCGAGTACTCGAGAATTCGAGGCGCGCTGCGCGGAAGCACTGAGGAAACACTTCGGAGTTCGGTCTTTCCTCCCAGTAAATCGCCGCCGAACCGCGTTCCCTCTCGAAGGGATTGTGAAAGTCTCGCGCCTGCGCCACCCTCCGACCACCGTCAGAAGGTATCCTGAAATCTCGTCCCTAGTGCTATTAATTGACCAACTCCGTTGTGGATGATATGGCACGTTCCTCGCACGCTCGGTAAAACAAAACATTCATTATCATTATACGTCTTTCTCTCAATCGTATGAAATATTAACATGCTAACATCAATATTAAAATGGAATGTTATTTATGTAAATGACATAACTCTAAACGCTGTTACTTATATATTATACTCGCATAATACTAATAAATTAATAAATTAATATTGATTAACCAATAATAAATTAATAGTAAACTAATAAATTAATTATTGATATCGTTATTCTAGATATTATGAGAACGCAGAATTAGGAAGTATGTCCTTACCTACTAACAAAGTTACCAGTTATTGTAAGTTAAAGTTAACTTCACTCATTTTTTCTATCCATAACTGTAACTTATTTAGTTACAGTTTAGCTGTATTAAATGCGTTTTTAGAATTTATATACAAAAATATTATTAGGTACTAATTGTAAGTTCAACAATAAGAAATAAATAGAAGGAATGGCCAAAGCTAAATCTCTAATGTTTAAATAATTCAATCTTGAATTATTATATATACCATATATA